TCTCTCTCTGTCAAATAAATAAATATTTTTTTTTAAAGATTTAATGGGAGGGGTTTCACTAGGGGGAGAAAAACCTAAAAGCTCTGTACAGAGAGTAGATGGTGATCAAGCAAAGTGGAGGGACACTGCTGTACATCCCCTTCCTGGGAACCAGGCTTGTTTCTGTAGTCTCTTCCAAACAGTTTTATACTGTCATTAAAATAATGTATCTTATGCTAATTGATAAAAGAATTAAATTTGTGGAAAGAGCTGTTTTCCCAGACGCAAATACCCTCTCTTGGGAGGTGCTAAAATCCTTAGAATCTGAATTATTTCTCTTCTTTCAGAATTGGGCTGTTCTCCTGACTGAATTCCATTCCTGGAATAGCTGCGGCATCACGTGAAAGGCATTACCTGGCAACGGTTCCAAAGAAAGAGCATATAGGCTGGGCAAGCTGGCTCCCCCAGGGGGCTCCCCCGGGGAGGTGGCCACCCTTCACGTGCTGCTTTCACCATAGACATGATAAGGGGGACGGAAGTTTTGCTCTCGTGTCATTTTATTTTCATAATTAAGTCATATGCGTAGTAGGGGAATGGAGAACCGTTGACATTATTTAGCTCTGAAAACAAAAATAGCTCACCGACTTTAACATGCAGCAGGAACGGCTGCTTTGAGGTTCCCCGAAAGTTGGTGCAAGTGTGTGGAATGTTGAAATGTGCCACATGCCACTATTATTATCCCAACCCCTCCTAAGGCTACGGTAGTCTTAGGCAAGGATTAAGACGGGGCATGCATTCCGTCTCCTTTGGCAAGCACCGCTCCCTGGTTGGAAATAGCACGGTAAATAGAACAACAGTAAAATGAATCTGTCTTAGTTAAAAGCCATGTTACTACCTGCGTCTCCTCCAGAGCAGGAGCCTGTCTGTGACCTCCCCGTGTCATCACGGACTGGAACACACGCCAGAGTAAGGAAGACGAGATAAGGCACGCACTACCTACAATCCAGATGTCCTTTCTTCTAAGTGCTAAGTCCATTCTCTGGGAGCGGCTATGGAAGCCACCTGGCTTATATGCTCCTTCCCTCGCCTGATCTAGCACGACGAACGCGTTCCCAAGCACACGCTTGTTTGCATGCGCGTTCCTGAGGAGCAGGCGTTGCCCGATGGTGGAGGGTTCTCGCGGGGTCCTGTGATCTGTGTTTCCAGCTACACGATCAACAGACAATCTGTCTCTTTAAAAGGAAAAATAGGATGGCCTGCATGACAGATCTGAAACAGGTGTAGGGGCAGGGACAGACCCGCCGGTGACAAGGGACACCGACTCGAATGCTCTTGTCCCCAGTTCAAGGACGATTAGCACCACAGAAACGGGCCTCTGGCTCACTGGCTGGGCCACCGCCAGGGAGCGTTCTCTGTTCTCCTGCCCTTCCAAACAAAGGAGCAAAGGAGCAAAGAGATGTGGGTGGGGAAATGCAATTTTAAAAAATCACAAAACGTCTGCCCTCGGCTGTGGTATTTTGATATCCACGTCAGTCATTCTGAGCACCGCTGGTGGTATAATTTCATAGTGGTTAGTCAGGAAATGCCATCTGCAATTAAGCACACCAACTGCAATCAACATAGGAAGATCCAAGCTTTGCTCCAACCCACTCAGTGCTATTCACATCCTGTCGGTAAATATTTTTTGTTTGGCCTTTGGACCCTTTGTAGCAGGCATTTAAGATTCTGCCTCTGGTAGAGTCATCCTTATTTCTACCCCCACAGCTCTGCCTCACTCCCCTGGCTGGGACCGTGCCTTTCAGATGGAAGATGGGAACAGGGTTCTAAAGAAAGGCGGCGGGTGGGAGGGAAAGCAAAGGACAAGGAGAGAAACATGATAACCTTGGGCATAGAAAGTAGATATATGTTTCATAAGCGGGAGTAGGCAAAGGGAGGCAGACAGAACCAATTGGGAGAGTAGAACCCTGCTTGTCTGGCCCTTTTGTCTTTTATTAAACAAGTGTGTGGACGCACGTGTGTGTGTGTGTGTGTGTGTGTGTGTGTGTGTGTGTGTGTGTATTAAACAGTAAATTATATCTAAGAGAAGTGTGTGTATTAAACAGTAAATTATATCTAAGACAAGTATAGCAAGGGGCTATTCATATAGGTAATAAGGAACTAACCAAAGAAGAAAACTTGGACTTGATTCTATAAAAATGATGCTAATTACAGTTATGAGAGTCATTTACCATCTACGAGTTAATAGTATCATATAATATAATATAACAGTATAATATAACAGTCGCTACTGAGCTCATCCCTTGTATGGAGCAGATTAATTTTTTTGTGTTTTACTTTATTTCAACACCGTATTATGTAGGTTTAGACCTTGTTATGGCATCTCTGCTATAAGCTTTTTAAAAGTTCTGCATTATTTAGGTGATTTTGAACCATCCTCTAGAATATAAAGCAATGAGAAAAGTCACTAGAAAACAGAATAAAAAGGGAAGTAGAAAAAGAAAGTAAGCAAACCATAGGAGAAAAGTAGAATATGTGGCATTTAACGAATTCAACAAAAAATAAAGTAGAGGAAAAGAAAGAAGATAGTTAAAATTAATCTAGTGGAGGAAAAGTAAGTGAAATAGAAAAACTTGGTTAAGATAAGGGGGAAATAAAGGAATCTGAGCATAACCAGCCTGGACTAGGGAGCAAAGACCTTTCCAGAAAGAAATTGTACTTCACACCTTCCAAACAAAGCTTCCACATCATTAGAGTATTCGAAATTCAGAGTAAATTATTTCCACTGCATCACAGTGACATTTTCTACTGTGATTAGCAATGCTAATCTTCTCAAAAAGAGAAGGAATAAAAAGAGAAAGGAGAATAAATTTTCTTCACTTACGGTACATTATGGCAAGCATTTTTTTTTTTTAGACCATCCCTGAAGAGTGATAACTGATATTGTAAAGATTTACTGTGGCCCCAGCAGAAGATGGAGACATGTCAGTGTAGCTCTGTCTGTAGACCTGCAGACATCTGAGCTGCTGGCGTGGCCTTCTCCACCCACCCACGGCCAGGGCCCGCTGCCTATCCTGGCACCCACTGACTGGGCCGGCCAGGGCCTCCAGGACTATGACCTTGGCAGCCACAGAAAGAAGAGCTCTGTGTCTCCCCTTCATGTTCCATCCCTCTGCCAGAGGGCCAGAGGGCCAGAGAGAGAGAGACAGGGAAATTTATTGCTGACATCTCTGGGCCCTTCGCCACTTACAAAGAAGAAGCTGAATGGGACCTATGGAGCTTCCAGCCACTCCTTTCCACCTTCCGCGTGGCGTCGACTGCAGGATCGAGGCCAGGAAGCCCGGGTTAGACGCGGGACATAAGACCAAGTGTGAAGGACGCTCCTTTCTGAGGACCAACATTCTCAGTCTCGTCTTCAAAAAATATCTCAAAATACTATGCCCCAATCATTTGATTTCAAATATCCTGAAGCAGTTTATCATTAAAACAATTCTTCCTTAAAACATTTCTGTTCCATTTTAGCAGCCCCTCACTCTTCAAAGATAATTCCTACTTCTAAAAATTACACCACAGAACCCAGAGAAAAACAGTACTGGAAAAATAATCGAATTCATATAAACTATTACCAGTAGCTGGTTATTTCAAAGTTATCCAATAAGATTGTTTTGTCTTCTCTGTCCTAGAGAAATTAATGAACAGAAAAAGGAATCCTTCTGTTTATTCATTTGCATCAAAACAGCCCTAAGGAGAAAGTCCTTCATATGGCACTTCCATTTAGTCCGTGGAAATTTCTTTTCTCAGGAGACCTAAGTTTCAACCCATCTCATTTCTTTTCTCCAGCACATTTTATCATTCCATACTGACTGACAGTGAGAAGACTTTCTGCCCTAGTTACTTAATGGCCCTGCTTTATTGTCGGTGACACAGTTAGAAATGCCCTCCCTATCTGAACAGTGCTCTTCAGAACAGTAGTTGGACAAAGGATGTTTCCCAATCCTACCTAGTAAGAATCACCTGTTCTGATCTTCTAAAATACTCATTCCTAGCCTTCAGCCAGAATGCAGGATTCACTTCCACAGATCTGTTCATTCCACAGACATTTTGGGGACCTCTTCTGTGCTAGTTACCAGGAGAGTCCAAGCACGAGTGATTCAAGGTCTTGACCTTGAAGAGCACTGTTGAGAGAAAGGTGACAAACATTCAAAACAATAGCAAATGCTAGAAGAAAGGCACAGGCACCATGCTGTGAGGCCAACCCTGGGCCAGGAACTGCACTTCCATGGATCCATGAGTGGGGTTGACTGAGCCAAGAGAGGAGAGGAGACTGCTGCTGGATGACATTTCTCAAACATTTATCATGATGACAGATACTGTGCTAAGTGCTCTATATACATTATCACACTTAGCTTCCTCAACAGTCATCAACCCATTATTCTGATGAGGCAGCATCTTGGCTGAGGTTAGGAACTTGCCAAAGATCAAGTAGTCAGAATCAGGCTCAGGACCTCATTGTGCACAACTGAGGACCCAGGCATAGCCTTCAGGGAAGGTTGGCTTGTCCCCGTCACTCACCGTCACTGTCAACAGTTATGCGACCCATGCTGTGAGGAACTCAAAGTCTTGAGGAAATTAGAAACTCTTCTACAGAGCAATTGTGCCCCTCATAGTGCTTCTCTGAATTTCACACCCAGATCCATCCTTGTAATTGATCCTGCTCAAGAAATGTGTGTTTCCAGAAGTTCTCATTCATAACGTCTAAGCCAACCACAATGAAGAGAAGCCTGCTGGTAGAGATGCACATTCAAAGGCATCTATTTACCAAACTCAGGTGTATAATCTACAACACATAATCCTCAGGGAAACACAAGGAAAAATGTTTTAACCATAAAATTTCCTTAATTCTTCACACAAGCGACAAAAATAGAATTTGACGAGTCTGTTAAGTGGCTACATTTACTGATTCATGTAAAAATAGATAAAGTAGAATGGATACTTTTTACAAGACTAAATTACCACATAATTACCTCATTCTTTCCAGATCTTGAGTCCTGTTCACTAGAACTTTCTTCCAGAAAACATTTCACTTTCTCAACCTTTCCCATGCAGTGGAAGAAAGCCATTTTCTCCAGTTTGTTACTCTTATAACATGTGTTGATTTCTTCCAGCCTCTTCACTTTTAACATCTTGGTGGTGAGTCCGATTAAGTTACTGTCTGGAGTGTGGTTTTCATCTCCCTCTGATTTGTAAATTAAGACGCAATCATGAGCTTTGAGCGTGCCTTCCTCTTGACTGTTTAAAAAAAAAAAAAAAGGAAACAAAGTTCTCATCACTTACTCACATATTTGACTTTTGAAGAAAATGACCAGTGAGAATTTTGAAGTCCCTTCTATTTAAACTGAAAAGAAGATCCAAAATTAGGAAGAGAAATGCCAATGTTAATATCAAGTTTCAAATGCTGGAACTTTGAAAGAAAAAAAAGGTTTTTTTCCCCACCTTTTCCTACAAAAGCGAACAGTAAAAGGCAACCTTCAGTTTCCCTGGGTGACTGTGTCCCTCACTGTATAAAATAAGATTTATATCAAGTGGCCAATTTATATATAGAATATAAAATTTCGATGGGGCTAACTGGGATTGCAGATTTCGCTCCTCCCATTCCGGCGGGAAGGGCTTCTTCCTGTGTGAGGGGGTCTCTCATCCTTTCCCTGGGGGACTTTTGTCCATCTGGGGAGTGATCTCCACCAGATGTCTCAATTCCAGAGCTCTTCTCTGCTTACACCAGAAATGATTATTTTAAAAATGAAGTTTCCCTTACAGCCTTCTCACACAGATAAGATACCCAGATAGTTTTCTGCGCATTGTCATTAACTGCTAGGTATCAAGGAGTACAAATCGTTGTGCTTTCCTTGAAATACTTTCATTACAAATTAAATAATACACATAATACCTCTCTGATACTAGAGATCTACACATAGTATGTGTCCACATACTTGATGGTATGGGGGTTTGGGGAGAGATTGGCTGGAATTTGCAGCGGGTTCTCACCGCTGACTGCTGAGGCCCCCTGCTGGACGTTTTCTGAAAATTACTTCCAGCTTTTTCTCAAATTTAAAATCACCAGCAATTATCTCCACAAAACTTCATTTTTCATTCTCTGAACTCAGATAGTAAAATTCATATATGTCTTGAGTTCCAAATTATTAAAAATCCAATGCTCTGTGAAATTCTTCTTAGACACGAAGACCTTACTTCAAACACTCTGAAATGTAAGTAGTACCAACCAGAGTTCTCTATGATACATTATAGATGAATACTAGCATTCCTTCAAATTGCCCTGAAAAAAAATCATTATTAAAATAAGGAGGCAGATGCATGGCTATTTCTAAGGCAAACTATGACTTATATACAATATGTAGCTGTAGGTGGTACTCAGGTTGGATCAGGAAGCCACATAAAAACTAACATTAAAAAGAAAACAAGTCCAAGATATAACAATTTTGCAAAGAAATAAAAAATGTTAAGCTCTACCTGGAGTTTGGTACAACCTGTTGTTTAAGGCAATATAGAAAGAGGAGATGCGAGAGGTTATAACAATTACTTAAAATACAGTAATTACCATGTATAGGAGGACATCCTAGGGTTTGGACCACTCCAAGTGCAGAGTACAATTTCCGGCAGATAAAAGGAAGTTTTGCAGAGTTCAAGATGACTACGCAATTCTCTGGTAAAAGTCTTTACTCTCAGTTGGTGTAAGTCTTCTGAAAAGACAAGTGTCCACTCTGAAAGGAAGTATCCTCTCTCTAAAATGCCACTTTGAGCCCCTGTTTAAACTAATATGGTCCTTGATCTCATGTTGCTCAGCTGTTGCCTTCTTAGTCAGAAGGGGAAGAACATTAATTTTAGACACCAGGCTTTTCAAGGCCAATGGCTCCATTTCAGAGGTCAGGTAAGGAGAGGATGTACTGGGAACAGTGGATGAAATATCACCTTCACCTTTTCTTCTCATCAGTGTGGCAATACTCTCAGAATTACCAAGGACCATTTGCTTTGGCAATCAGATGCCCTGTTCTCCTGCCCCTTTTAGACTCGTGATGATTTAAGTGCTCATTCCCAGCCAAGAGGATTCTGGGTGTGGGAATCCCACAGCCACCTTTGTTTGCCCATGTGACACATAGAACATACATAACTAGAATATGAGACATCTTTTGAAAACACAGCAAGTTTTGGTTTTCTCAGTGCTTAAATTGATTTGCCATATCTCCAACTGTTTCCAGCTCTAGGAAAGGTCAACTGTTCAGGCATCCACAGAGTTGCAAAAACAAGAATGAATTTTCATAAATTCTCCTTACAAAGAACACTGTGACTTTCCCCCCATTGTCTGTCACAGGTTAAGAAGAGGGAATCTAGGGCAAACAACCCACCTACATGATCCTAACAGGAGCATATCTCTGGATTTAGTTAAGTGGCATAAAACCTCGACTACCTGAGCTCGTAATACAGACAATCGTACAATTCTTCAAGACCCAGAAATCATCTTCCTTTTTGGAGCCTTAGCTGACCCCTGAACTCCCCACACCAACACTAGCCTCTAGAATTCTCTTGTTTTTCCAAAAGAAAAAAAATTCTTATTCTTAACTCAGATCATTGTGTTCCATATAATATAAAAATACATTTCCATTTTGAGTAGCATATAAGGAATTGTAGCAAGACCTTTAAAAAGGAAAACTTTAGGTGTTTTTCTAGGATTAGAGAACTTTGTTCTTTAGAGGAGTAAACAAAACTAGGTATTTGCTAAAGGTAAATTATTTAACAAAATTGTTACAAAAAGAGTGAACTAATTTGAGGTTACCAATTTTGCTTGGACTAGTTAAATCATGAAAAAAGTGATAAAATGATAAAATGACAAATCCCCTGCCCAAAGGCAACATGTATGGCCTTCTGCTGATTTGACCATAACTTCCATCCAGACCATCCATATAGGATCAAATCTTCCGTTCCCTCAGTCCAGCAAACCAGGCACAGGCTCCAGTGAACCAGAAAACAGCAAGATCTGCTCCTTTGCTTTTTCTTTTAATAAGTTGTTTTATTTTAGGGTAGTTTGAGATCTACAGAAAAGGTGAAAAGTGAAAAGATAGCATGGAGAGATTCCTCATACCCTCTTGTATACGCAATTTCCCCTATTGTTAACATCCAACACCTGTCACAGTTAGTGAACCAATGCTGATATGAAACTGCATGTTTCATTTAGAGTTAATGAGGTTTTCCCTAATGTCCCTTTTCTATGTCAGAATCTCATCTAGGGATTTTCATTCCATTTAAAGCCACCAGATTTGTGATGGATTGGATCTGGGGTGTGAAAGGAAGATGATAGACAAGGATGACTTTTCAATTTTTTTCCTGAGCATTTGAAGGTCAGAGTAGACATTAACTAAGATGGAGAAGGGCATGGCAGGGGGGGGGGACAATTTTGGGAGTGGATGATCAGGAGCTCAGCTTTTGACAGGTCCATTGGACATTTAAGTTGAAGAGGTTGTGAAATGGAAATCTCGACTTCAGGGAAGAAGTCCAGATTGGAGATAAAAATTTGGAAGTCATCACATGTAGATAGTTCTATGCACAATATGTATTTGATAGATATTTGTTGATTAATAACTAGAGAGAATGTTTTAAATTATGTCTATTTATCATAAAAAAGGAAAACTCAATTAAAACAATCTATGCTACTTGTCTTCTAAAATTAGATGACAGTCCAGTTCCTGCTATGTTATATTATTTTCAGCTTATGATAGCACAGAGGAAAGCAGCCTGGTACAATACTTGACCACCAAAAAAAACAAAATAAAACAAAAACCCATATAACATATGCATGTCCATTATGATTTGTCTGCATAGCCTCAGCATCCTAAGTCCATACCCAAAAAATAATTGGAATGTCTTAAAGATGCTCCTCTGCTTGGAAAAGTTGACAATGAGGCTATAAACAGACTCGGTGATACTTTTCCTGGCTATCCCTGATATTATGGAGATACAAATCCTTTTTTTTTTTAAAGTACTAACCTCAGAAAAACCACATTCCACAAAGCCATGGGAATTGCAATTCATTTCAGGGGACATTTTCACTAATTAATGAGAGACTGTAATGTCAAAAAAGCCATATAAAGCATGGATGGCCAATGACCGTGTGCTGGTTGGCATTCAAACAAAGCTGGATAGTGCTTATAATTTCTATTTGGACACAGCATTCTGAATGTTTCCAGAACAGCAAGCCTTTCGAACATTTATTCACAAAAGTGGAGCAATCTTCACAAATACCAAAATGCAAATCAAAGACATCCCTGATATCCACATAACTATTGAATTTTCTTCCTTTCAAAAATCACTGCTAAAATGAGCCATAAAAGCAAAAACTGATAAATTGCACTTCACAGAAATTCAAAATTTGCTCTTCAAAAGGCAGCATAGGAAAATGAAAAGACAAGCTACAGACCTGGAGAAAATACAACGAAGTTATACATTTGATAAAGGATTTGTATCCTGAATAATATAACCAACTCTTACAGAACACCAATATAATAACGACCTAATGTTTTAAAAGGGACAACAGATTTGAAGGACATCTCAGCAAAGAAGAGACATAAACAAGTGGTTACAAAGCACAAGAAAAATTGTTCGAAGTCAGTCATTAGGGAAGATGCAAATTAAATCACAATGAAATAGCATCTTACACCAACTTGAAGAGCTATAATTAACAAGACAGACAAGAGTAAATGTTGGCGAGGACGTGGAATGACTGGCACCCTCATCATGTATGTTCGTGGGAATGTAAAATGGTACAGGTTTTGGAAAACAGTTTGGCAGTTTCTTAAAAAGTTATTTCCTGTGTGACCTAACAATTTTTTTTCTAGATATCTTACCTAAGAGAAATGAAAACATGAATACTTAGAGCTTGGCACATGGATGTTCTTGGCAGAATTATTCACAAGAGCCAAAAATTGGCAACACCATAAATGTCCATCAATTGGTTTGGTAAAAAGAAAGAGAGAATGTGATGCATCCATTCAATGGAATACTACTCAATAATAAAAAGGAAAGAAGTACTGATCCCTGCTACAACTTGGATAAACAAAAACACTGTGCTAGGTGAAAAAAGCCAGAAATAAAGACCACATATTAAAGAGTTCCATTCGTTTGAAATGTCCAGAAAAGGCAAATCCACAGACACAAAAAGTAGATTCGTGGTTTCCTGGGGCTGAGAGCAGGAACAGGGATTAACTGTAAATAAAAT